CCACGTCGAAATCTATTAAAATTTTCAGAATGAAAAGGAGAAAAAGGCGAGAGCACGAGGTCCAGACTCGATCGAGTGTAAACGAGGAAACCGGGATATATTTGAAAAGATCTAGTCGGCCGAGAGATAATTCGGCAGAATCGGAGTTCACCGTAATTCAATACGCAGTATGCTTAATGAAGATATCGAATTACGGGCACACCTTAATTCGATCCGATGGGCGAAGGGACGCGGATAAATGGTTCGAATTTGTCAAGATGCCCGGCTGCAGAATTCCACGCAATCGCTCGATCAAAGATATTAGCATTATAATCGATCCCATTTGCTAAAAACGTCGGTGTTGGGTAAATAAATTCTATGAAATATTAATTTGATGGCGAGTGAACTTATGTAAAACATCGCATAGCGATACCGATTTATCTTCTTACAGAATGCTATATTGATTTACTTATCAGTTTCGATTATCGTTCAGAAATCGACTACTTAATTAATATTGAACATTAATATTACCGTGACTCTTGCCATTTTCTAAAAACATCTTTATACTATTATTTTCGCGTGAATTGATTCTTTTAAAATTTAAATTATATTTCCAGTTTTAATACTTAGTCATGGATCCAATCTGAAATTGATCGATTAATAATAATTTATCTAATTTGACATCGCTGTTTCGGTGACAAACAAAAATCATTAACATCACAATCGTCGATTCCCGAAATATTCTCAAACTGATGAGCTTGGCAGATAAATTATATTTCGATTATTTTTCAATCTACATGAATCTTATTTAAAAAAAATTGTATACAGCAGTGCTACTGGTCATCCGATTGTTATCAATTTTATGATCTTTCAATCGTAGCGTCTTGATAAAAAATGATTTGTCAAACGAATAATTGGATACCTATACTACTTAATTGGGTAGTGAATCGAATAAAAAATGCTAGCAGATAAAAAACTATTATGGACATAGTCAACTAAAAATAAATTCTATATATTGTGAAGCCATTATAAATTATTGTCTCATGATTTCTTTTTGGATGTGCACTCGTTTAAAATTTTTGACCAAGAGAGATCAATCGTTATCAACTTCTACATTTTCGGGTACGCCTCTAAGTATATCCGGTTGCCGAGCAGCAAAGGGAAATGGATAAAATATCAAAGACTGCTTTGTTGTAGCAGTTGTAGCAAGAAAGTGTCGCGCTGCAATCGCGCGACATTTTCTTGCTACAACGCACTCGCAGATAAAACACTGATATTCTACAACACTTCCTCTCCTCGTTATCTTTTTTTATATATTTTCCAAAAAATTAAAGGTTTTATTTATTCACACATTTTATTAATTCGAAAATATGTGATCTTGTTGTTTATCGTCGATAGATTGAAATTTTTGGTATATTATTTTCATGTACGAATATTTGAAGTTGAATTACAACCATGTTGCAAATGAATTTTGTAAAACGTGAACCTTCCTAGTACCCAGCGTTAAAATCGTGGTTCGACCCGCACCGATTCGTGGGAATTTTTCTCTCCGTGCTACAAAGTGCTGGGCAAACGCAGTCCACAAGAATAGTAGTGTGTGGTCGTAATGGAACACAGACACACAGTTTTCTTCGAAAGGATCGGTGAACCCTTCATATTCATGTGGGAGATACAGGGTTACTCGGGCCATCTGCTACATTGTGGCAGTCCCGCCGGACCACTAGGGGCCTTGTCCGCTTCTACATTTCCTCATTAGGTTGCTACGGACGCAACTATGCTGCTAAGATCGGTCTACAGCCATTAATAAAAGCGGCTCTTACGAAATAACAAATATTCAGAATAATATTTCACGACAGTCTGGCAGGGTCGGTTGTCTACCGTTGAAAAATAGTCTTCTATTGAAAAGGAACACTCTTTAATGACGGTCTTCGCACAAAGTTGCAATTAAATTCGTTAACTGGATAGTGAACAAAAAATATAGAGCCAATTTTTTAAAGCTAAAAATAGGTTTATGATATTATTATATATTCTCCAAACTATATTAAAAATTATATATCAATTATGTAAACTTTTTTGCAGTTTTATGGAAAATAAATGTTTTAATCTAGTTGTGAGCAAGAGTTAAATTAAAATCATGAGGAGAAACATAGAGAAATATTTTTAGTATATCACATTGTTGCATCAACCGCAGATGTTCGCTACACGAAGTCCCCCCGGAAATCATATGTCATCGACTTAAATCGCTAGGAATGATATTGATATCTCAAAGCAAACTCACCAATATTATGTTATGTTTTAAAAGTGAAAAAGTTCGTTATCTCTCTAAACACATTTTTTAGTTTTGCTTTAAGCGGAAAAATAATTTTAATTGTGCTTTTTATAAGCTGTATTCATATTACTGTAAATTCTTAACAATTTATAATTTTTTATCGTCGAAATAAGTCAATCTAAAGGATAAATTTAATGTGCAATACGAAAGAAAGAAATTGTTTAAATAATTTGAAAATTTTCTTCTTTATATACGTAGAATTATGAAAAATTAAAAAAACACATTATTAATGCCAGGATGTTATGATCAACTTCCTGTTACGTTTGGTCGGCTCCTCTTCTGGAATTTAAAATATTGGGGTCTTACATTAATATTAAAGTGATACCACTCTGTGTAGATTTTTTAGACGCAGTTGTGTTAGTAATAGTTCTCGGAAAAATCGAGATGTGTGGCATAGGAATAGTCTCAGACCAGTTTCTACATTGTGTGCTTAGGATCCCAACCGAATCCCAACGACCACTGCGTTCAGATGTGACGAAGGAAAAGCGATGGAAAAGATTCTTTTGTCTATTTGAATTGCGTTTAAAAATCATTTTCTCAATTCTTTAAATATTACTATTATAATAGTATTAAGAAACGATAGCTAAAATCTTTATCTTTAATATTCTTAAAATAAATTTGTATTAAAATTACACAATATACATATAGTGTCTGTACATTATTAAATTGCACAATTCATCGCGTCCGGAATAATCAAATTCAATTAGATAAATCACTAATAAATAAGAAATAAAATAATTTATTATATACATGTTGTGTCGCCATCGCTACAAATGTGAAAGAGGCATATATTAAGATATAATTATACGATAAACAGTCTTTTATTCCGTAAACAAATTGTTGCGTTTTCCTGGTAGATGTCTTTGTCGGTGTAGAATTTTCTCCGATCATTCATATGCGCCCCTCGAATCAGCTGCCACATTGTTGTCCTTACTTAATCTTATATCGTCTGTATTTCTCGAACCCAGTTGCGATGGAGAACATGTAAGAATAAAAGCTTCCAAATCGTCAATATATCTGCGTCAAATGCGCGCTTTTTCATATACTGTTGTATATATATATATATATATATATAATATACTATTTTTTTGCATACTCGAATAATTATACGTATATTTAAATAATAGTATTTCGATATATATTTTGAAGAAAATGCCCGGTTTTTTAATGAGAAAAGATGCCTTTATGTCAGTCATGGTGAACAGCTCGACATTCGTCTCGAGCGGATTCGTCTCATGCGGATTTTCTCACGCGTTCACTTATTAGCGATGCGTAGCGTGGAGACGATCACGAGACTGCAGAATAACGCGAGGATGACGAAGCACTTTCTCTCCTTTGCATAAGCATTAAGCGAAATTCTTATCTCGCTTAACGATGAAAGTTCTAATTTATTATTCTTACATTTATTTATTATTGAATTCTAGTGAACTTGGTGTTAAATCACGCATACATTTATGTTAATGTTTCTCTCTTGTCTATGTTTCTCATAGTCATTAATTCTTACTGGCCGTTTTGATCTCATTAAAGTTGCAAGCCGTTGAAACGCACTTGGATAAGTCGAGAGGAGTAAGAAACGCATGCTCGCGTTTCTTTCGTCGTCTACCTAGTCTCCGGACTGAAAGTTACGCGATAGTTCTTCTTATCAAAGTTCTAAGAAAGACGGTTCAAAAGTATCGGCTGCCGCCGGACAATTCGCGCTCTCAGCTCCGTCAACTGTATACACGATCTAAAAGTTTGTACGTTCTATCTGCGTTTTATCTGTCACGCATATACATATATTCGCTCAATAATAACAACAGTAGTAGTTGCAAATAGTAATAAATTTGCAATTTTTTTTGAAAATCTTTTAACAGAGTTAAATATGAGATATGAGAGCTTAAAACCGAGATATGTATATCAAAGACAATATTTGTTGGTAAAAATACATATCTACATATTAATATAATATATTAAATTTTTAAAATAATTCAAAAATGAATTTAAAGAGTATAACACTACTTTTTACTATAAAATAGAGGAAAGTTTTTTCTAATCTATTATTAAAGTTATATACTTATATATATTCTTAAAATTTGTAGAATATCTTCAATTTTTGAGAAAAATCAATGATTGCTAAAATGTATAGTGATAAGTGAACTGAAAGATCAACACCTTTTTACAGAGTTTTATTTTTTCCATTCTTATCGAGTTTTAATCTTTATGTCTCAGTTTTCGGAAGACGTTCGTACGCGTGTAACTTAATTCTCTTAGACCGTATATTGGGATCACGCTTCGTCGCATCCTTCGCCTCGCGTTAACGCAATTTAAGTCACGATCGGCGAGCAGGTGCATATCGGCGCAACTAATCTTATTAATTATTACTCAAAAGGCGAGGAAGCGTCCTGCTGTTTTATCACTCGTAAACATAACTTATGCCACGTAAGCCAGTGTGTTTCTATGACGTAGAACATTTAACAGAAGATTAGTCGAAAGTCTTTTGAAGATCCTGACTCCATAAATCATAGCTTTTAAATCATCATTTTAAATCGATATATTTTTACTTAAGACTTTTTATTTTCACATAAAAATTTAGATTTGCTTACGTACAAAAATAGCGAGTTCTATATTAAATATAATCAACAATAAGTAATAATCAATCTATGTTGTCGATTTTTCCAACTATTGTTCACAACAATTTTACCCCTTGTTTCAGGCTAGTCGTACGCTCGCAAATGGCGAGTACCTGCTGCCGTGCCCAAGGTGCAGCTTTCCCTGTCACGTGGATAGCGAGAAGAATGTGGGTGCCTGCTCGAGGCAGGGCTGCTCCATCGAGTTCTGCATCTCATGCTCGTCGAAGCCACACGCGGGCCCATGCAAGACGCCCTTACTAGCCACCCCGACGAAGCGCAACAAACGCCTGATCGTCGGCTCGAGGCAGAGCAAACGGAATCTGCGACGACTGTAAATCGATTCCTCTTCCCTCGGTCGATCCGCGTTCCGATCGTTCGCGAGGAGAGAAGAACTAGTCTAGCTACGGAGTCGCGTCAACTCTGTCGAGAAAGGGAACAAACGTGTATTATAGATAAGATATATATATACCGTAAACGAAAGTCAAAAGCGATTTTATAGCCTAATTTGAAAGATAAATTAATATTTTAGTAATTAACTTTCCCGATTAAGTTTATGGAATGCGAAACTGATACGACGTTATCGTTTGCGTATCGAGACGAATTCGGTTGCACACCGTAGCGATACGACACATCTTCATAGCTCGAGAAATGCCCTGAGGGTACTTTCGTATAGCATATTAACCTACGAGGTGGCATAAGCGTATTTAACCGCCGTAAATGCCGCTTATGAATGATTTTTAAACGTCGTAAAATCCACGAACGCCATAATTAGCCCCGATCCGTCGACACCACGAGGAGGCTTGATGCCGAAGTACGGCTTAAATCTCCCGAACGACATCGGCGGATGCGCAACCGAATCCTTCTCCAGTCCTCCTCCTCCTCGTCGATCTTCGGAGTAAGTTCCGCCCCGAGCGGTGCAACTGAACGAAGGAGAACGAAAGAGATAGAAGGGGGCGAGAGAACGAGAGGCTAGCGGTCAGGGGGAGAGCGTACCCCTCGGCGGAGCACGGAGAGAAAAGAAGAAAATGCGAATGCGGGAGGGAAGGGAGAAATGAGAAGCCATAAAGGCAACGGTCGTAAAACCACGTAAGGTACCGGCGAAACACTTTGCGTCGCCCGGATATTCCGCTTTTTACCCGGGCGCTCTCGGTATCTTAATGAAGACGGGGAGAGAGTCGGTCGAGGGCCCGCGCGCGTTTCTGCGGCCAGGGCTTGTCCGCAGAACCGCTCTTTCTCCCTCCTTCCCTCTTTCTCTCACGGGAATCGTAAAACATAGCAACCGCCGGGACGGTCGCGAACTCTGATGTCCGTCGAGATGCGAACGAGACGAATTCTTTCTCATTCGTCTAACGACACGGTACGGCTTATCTTTCTCACGTGTAAACGTTAAAACATAGTTTCTATTCCTTCGGACGGACGTTTCTCCTTCAACCCCCTGCTCAACAGGACATGAGCAGAGTTTAATTAATCCTTGCTCTTAATGGAACATTTAATACTGAATTCGCGAAAGAAAGGGTGAGAATGGGACAGATTTTGATAAAGTCTTGAAACATGACACTATATTTTGTCATATACGATATTCATAGCAAATGAGAAAGATTAGAGTGACAAGTTAAATATGTATCCTCTAAAATCCCAAATTTACAACGTGATCTCACGTATCACTCTTTCTTTTGTATGTCGAGTAAATATTAAAATTACATTTTACAAAAGTCCACGTTCTCTTCTCTCTTCGACGCGAATCTGTAACCGTACTCTCGCTCTATTCGCTCAATAAGTATGATATTGCATGGAAACAGATAATAGATACAAGTGTGCGAGAAGTAAAAGAAACAGTGCCAGAATAGGAAGCGACTGTTGGAAAAAATGTGGATGGTTATATAATTGGCAAGGGAATTGTTATCCCGCAATAATATGAGTAGTACATATTTTAATAATTTCGTTTTACGTTATCTGATGGACCAACGAAGAAAAGAGATTTTACGAGAGAACGAGAAATTTGATGTCACAGGAAATGAAAGATTCTCTTTGCTCTGCACTTTCTGGATGTCAGAAGCCGGTACAAAGAATTCTACACTTGTGCCATGATTAAGTTCGCGCCATAATAATTGCCATATTTTAAAAACTAACATAATTACAAGGGAGAAAGAAACGAGCACGCGTTTCGGCATCTTTCGTCCTCGAGTAAAATCCTCAATGGGGTGCCATATCATATCGTTTTATTCTATTTTCTTTTCTTTTTTTTCGTTCGTGCATCTTTTAATCCAAGTCCGTCTAAACGTTTTCATGTCTTTTAAAAGTAGCGTTAGTTTGTCCCGTGTTTGTACTCTTATTTTTATACCGGTGTATGCGAAAAAAGACTGCATATAAATAACCGAGAGTGATAGTAATATATTTTGTATTTCGTGTAAGCGCGCGACAAAGTTTCGTGATCGGTATTTTATTTGCGCTATGTTCTTGTTAAAATGATAATGATACGTTTATTATATTATACGATTAATGATGTCTCTCTTCACAGGTTACTGTGCGGTCTTTATAAAAAAAATTTGACCGATAAATTTTAATCATTTCATTTTTATTTTTAATTTAATAATTATTTTTTTATAAGTGGCAAAGGAAACAAATTTTATCATTCTATTTTTTTCATTTAAATTTTTGCTCTCTTGTGCTCTCTAAAAAAAATAGATATAGAAGTTATTCGTTACCACGATACCCACGAAATAATTCAAGTGAGAACATTCTGTTAATAATATCACGATTTATACGAACAAAAGGGATATTCATTAGAACCTTTTAAATTATTTATATTGGATATTTTTTTTAACTTTTTATTGGTATTACCTAAATTAAAATTTGATATTTTAATTGAAAGACTCGAATATCATTATTTTACATAATTTCAAATTTAACTAATATATAATATACTGAATTAATTTATATCGATTAGCTAGTTCGTCTGCGTCATTAAGTTATAACATTTCAACAAAAGAAAATCCAGTTTTTCTTTCGATACGTAATTACAATTTACATAGATTAGTACAACCAAGAACTGAGTAATTGGTTTCGATGCTTCAATTCATATAAGCAATATTCCGTTTGGTATCTTCAAACAATGATCCATGAGCTTTAATACTCAGGAGATATTTTGGCAGGAATCCGATGCATTCTTTAGTTTAAGTTATATTTAAAAAGAAAATCTTTAGCCATGAGGAAGTGATACCAAATAAAGTGCCTCAATAAGCAATAAGAAAAATATTGATATTTTTATAAAAGCGAACATATTTTCATGTTTAGTATATAAGTTTTGTAAAGCATTTGCTTGAAGATATTCTTCAACAAAACGCAAGAATGCTCAATACTCCCCTTCGCATTATTTAAATATTATTATTATATTTTATATTTGAAGAGTTTCGAATTCTTACGTTAGAAACAATTTTAAAAAATGCGTCTAGAACTGCCGAAGAATTATAGCAAATATGTATTAATCGAATGTGTTGTAAGCCCTTTCAGGGTAGGTTCCTGTATTGTCAATTAAATATAGTATTTTTTTCGCGTAATCGCGTGTGTTCTTTTTTTTATCTAAAACTAATGATAGGCTTATATTAACTTTAAATAAATATTTATTCCATTGCAGATATAAAATTATAATTTATAGCAGTGTGTTTACATAATCAGTTTGCAGAATGTTGTATAAATTATTTATCTAAGTCAGAAATTTCCATAATTCTCTGAATATCATAGCTAAGAAGATCATAATCGTCACTATTCCATATTTTGCGTATAGTACTCTGAAAATTTCGTATACTACTCGTTGTACAGGAGATCTTAGTGCCGGAGACACACCTTTACCGACCGGTTCTCCTTTCATAGAGAACTTCGTCGTTTCTGTAATCTTTACGTCGACCATTTTTCCCATGTACTCCTGCTTCATGGGAATTAACACCTGTTCGTAGAATTTGTTATGGCCAACGTAATGCTGCTTATCGTGCGATACCTCCGTCACTAGCACCTTCTGCATCAGTCCCACTTTGGGTCCGTATGGCTCGTACGACTGGAAGAATTCCGACAGCCTTTTGGTTCTCGTCTTTACTTTCTGCGCGGGTACCTTCGGCATCCTGGCGGCAGGCGTGCCGGGTCGGGAAAAGAACTGATTGATGAAGAGACTTGGAAACTTGTACTTCTGACAGAGCGTCATCGTCTCCTCGAAATCCGCTTCCGTTTCCGTAGGAAATCCGCATATGATATCCGTGGCGATAGTCAGACCGGGCACTCGCTTACTCAGAAAGTTCACCACGTGCTCGAATTCGGCGCGCGTGTATTCTCGCTTCATGTCAACGAGCACCTGGTCACTGCCGGACTGCACTGGAATATGTAGAAAGCTATAGACTTTGGGATGCTGCAGGATCTTGGCCATTTCGTCCAAATGCTCCAGGATGTACGGTGGATTGGTCATACCGACGCGCATCATGCAACCGTCGGGGATCACGTCCACCAATTGCCACAGCAGTTCCGGCAGGCTGGTACCAATGTCTCTGCCGTAAGCGCCTGTATCCTCGGATGTGAGCCACAGCTCGCACACACCCTCCTCGAAAGCCTGCTTGGCCCGCTCGACTATCTGCTCCGGTGGATAACTACCCAGCTCACCTCGCGCATGCTTCGTCTTGCAGTAAGTGCACTGATTCAAGCAGCCCGTGTTAATGGCTATAATCTCGATGAGCGGATTCCGGCGCACCTTTGGAAGACTCAGCGAAGCACCGCCTGTCTTCTTACCAGAATCCTTCTTCTGCCGTAAGAACCTAACTGTATTTCCTTTCAAGGTTTCTTCCACGACTTCTACCACTCGATCAATTTGCTGCACTCCAATCACACTCAGTCCTTGAAGGAAAGAAGATTTTGGAGCACCTTGCGGCACACATCTGTAAGATACAAATGAAATATTTACTTAGAATTTTGGACCGGCTCCAAATAATTCTCAAAGTTGAGAAAGAAACTGTAAAATTCTATACATTTATTTTCAATTCAATACAAGTATTAGATAAAATAGTGATATAAGTCTGTTTTATATTGCTAGTTCAGGATCTTTTCCTTTAATGTAGAGTAAAAAAAAATAAACTCTGAACTAGTACAGCCAGTTCGGCAATAGAAAACAGACCCTATATCATAATGCGTTATCAAATTCTTGTTCCATTATTATGGCTGTACAGCTACATACCCAGCGACTACGACATGCTTGCCGATCTTCTTCCCATGCTCGATTTCATTCCTGAATTGATCTTCCGCGGGACTCTTGACAGTGCAAGAATTCAAAAGCCACAAATCTGCCTTCAGTTTATCCTCGGTCAAATTGTACCCGTACGTCGCCAATTGACCGGCCATGTATTCGGTGTCCGAACTGTTGTGCGTGCATCCCCACGTCTTCACGTAGATCGTCTGCGTGCCGGGTATTACACTAGACAGGATAGACGGCTGCGGCGACACTTCTTCCTGCAGCTGCTTCTGTCGCTTCGGCCGTATCGTGATATGTTTCCGCGAGCTATACCTCTCCTTAGGCGTTATGTCCTGCGACGCGATTAAATCCTCGATGTCCTCGATAATATCCTCGCATGGAGCAGGCATGTTCGCCGAATGTAAAAATGATCTCTAAAGAAGTTGTTTGCCGCAATCTTGAACAAAACGTGTCACGAAACAATTTGAGGTTAAGAGCACGTGATCTTTAAACTAATAAATTCAACACAAACTATCTTCTGGAACTTCTGGACTTCTGGAAAATTATAACAAATAATAAAAATCTTAGGTTATTACATTGTTCAGTTATTGTTTATTCCTACTTCAAGTGTAAAAGGTAACGATTTCAAGAATAAAATTAGATTACGTTAGGTTAGGTTACTTGAAAAAGTTTTGATGTGTGTTATACTGCCATCTAGGTGTACTTTCGTTTATTAGAAAATAAATAAGAAGTTATATTTTATCGCTAATCGATACAATTTATATATTAAAAGTATATTGAATTTTTCCGAGAAGTTTCTGAAACACAGTGATATTATTCCTAATTTATAAAAATATAAATATTTGAGATATCTAAAATATCGACGATTTGTGATTTATCGGCATGTATTGATAATCTTTTTATCCAGAAAACATGATGACGTATGAAATCATCTAAGAAACTTCTTGAACTTTTAGAAATGTCTTATGAAATTATTATGAAGATATTAAGATATCCATATGACATGAGACATTAAACAGCGAAAGAAAATTATGTTTTTTCTTAAATCTGTGACAGATAAATCTTTTAAGATTAAAAAAAAAACGATAAGAAATTGCACTGATAAAAAAAACTGTGCCTTTGAAAAATATTTGTGACAAGAGGGAACTAATATTTCATAAGTAAATACAATTTCAAGCAATGTATTTTTGTGGCTTTAGATAACTTTTTTGCATTTAAACGCGCTTCCAAGTTGTTCGCTTTTAATAATTTATAATAATTTACATAATTCGATATCATATTATTTACAAATTTAATGTGATTAAATATTATAATAAGAATCAATGTAATGTTTGCGATTTCAGAGTCTTGACGCTGAGGTGCGGCAATTAGTGCTCTTAAATATATGTATACAATAATACCTAATATGAGATTGGCGAGACGTATGTATCCCTTAAATTATCTAAAATAACTTACCGCTTTAAAAGTCTTTTTTTCCCCTGCCTCTTTATAACAGCATTAACATAATAATAAAAATAGCTTTATAATTATGTCTTACTTTTTTCATATTTTGAAAGATATATGTGTATATGTATGTTGCTTCTTATATGTAATGTAAAATCATTTCTAGGGTTCTTGAGTGGTTCTAGCGTAGATTACGTCTTCCATGTTTTACATAAACCTATTTCTTTACCGTAATTCTTTACAAATTGCGCGATAAGGGTCAATATACGGCTATTTGTTACACCTGATCAGATATTATTATTCCGACTGGAGAAGAGACTCTAGATTCTCTTATAGGTTTTCGTACAATGAGATATGAATAAGTATGAAATAATTAAACACAAAATTTCTTATGTTATAGTACATAAAATTTATTGTTATTGGTTATATATTTTTATTTGACAAATAATAGATATATTGCATGAAAAAAATATTTTTATGTAATCTATCGATAAATGACAATAAAAGTTAGATGTTTTTCAATCATGATTTTTAATTATGTACAATGTTTTAAATTTTCTATGCTTTTATTATTATCATTAATAAAATGGCCTGCACATATCTTGGAAAAAATTCGATTTCTTTTAGAATATTGTTTTTTGACATCCTTTGTCAGAATTAATTATTAAATATAATTCTCAATTTATTCATTTTAGTACTTAATTCTCGTTTAAATCAATTACTTTTAATCAGGAGTTCCTGTTTATAATAGACTAGGAGTTACGTATAATAATCAGGTTATTTAGACAAATATATAAATAGTATATAATTGGATTTTCAACAGAGCCTCTACTGAACAAGTATATAAAAATCATTATATCTTTACGAAGATATTAAAACAGATTGTGTGTGTGTGTGTGTGTGTGTTTGTGTGCGTGAGACTTTACGATAAGTCAATATAACTGATACCGTAAAACGTAAAATGATATAGAGCATTATAAAAGTTTTAATTTGTAATTCTTAAACAAATCTGTAGCAAATAAATCTTTCAAGATATTAAAAGAACAAAGATTATCGTATGTAAAACCGTTAGACATATTAGAATTAAAGACTTCGGAAACATAGAAACATTTCGACCAGGAACAGCTTATTCGTGAAAATATTTTTGTTTTGGGATGTTTCTCATGTCGAACGTTTCCTGGTCACCTTTTATACATTACTCCAATCAGTTGGAATCCTACCGTTGGAGAGCGTTGACGACTTCTTGGGAGAAAATTTGTACAACAATGTCTTATTCATCTTGCTGATTTTACTGACTTTTATTCAGCTAGATTTTGACTATCAGGCATTAGTCATTTTTAGCACAACGTGATATTTGGATTGAACAGGTTTGACCATAATTTTTTTCCTATAATGAATATTCTTAAGTTAAAGTCTATCGAGAGATATGAGCATGTATTTGATTTTTGTCGTGCATTATACATAACGGCAATGTTAAGCGCGTTTGTATATCCATTCTTATTAAATAACTTTAGTATGTATCCAAAGCTATATATTACACATTGCTGTACACTATTGAAATCTTTATAGGCAAATTTTATTGCTGCTTTCATATATTGTTTAAATACAATAAATTAAACTGCAATCAGTATACAAAAAC